TTCACGTGATCTTGATTCTATGCCTCTGTTTATACAGCCCAGGATTGTATTAGCTGTTTTGGATGCTGCTGCCCATTGCTGGCTCATAGTCAAGTGATCATCCATTAGGATTCCAAGGTCCCTCTCACAGTTGCTTTTTTTGAGCAAAGTCTCACCTAATCTGTGCTTATATCTTTGATTTTTCCTGCCTAAATGTAAAACTTTGCTTTTCTCCACATCAAAACTCATTTTGTTGGATAGGGCCCATTGTTCAAGTTTGTCAAGATCTTTTTGAATCCTGAGTTTGTCTTCTGGGGTGTTGGCTATTCCTGCCAATTTGGTGTAATCTGAAAATTTGATGAGTTCCCCTTCTATTCTCTCATCTAAGTCATTGATAAAGATATTAAAGAGATACTGGGCCTAAAACAGAACCTTGTGGTACCCCACTGCTTACTTCTCTCCATGTTGATGTAGTACCATTGAGGGCTACTCGTTGAGTTGTCTATTCCACCTTTTTCTAGCTTACGAAGCAGTACATTGTAGTCTACTTTTGGCGAATGCCTTACTGAAATCTAAATATACTATGTCTAATTTGGTCACTTTATCAAAGAATGAAATAAGATTGATTTGGCATGATCTGTTCTTAACAAAGGTATGCTGGCTACCAGTTATAACTTTATTTGCTTCTACTTGTTCGCAGATCTGTTTTTTGATTATCTTTTCCAGGATCTTCCCAGGTATTGATGTTAAACTGATTGGTCTGTAGTTTCCTGGGTCTGTTTTTTTCCCCTTTTTCTTGAAGATGGGAACCACATTGGCCCTTTTCCAATCCTCAGGTACTTCCCTGGTGCTCCAGGATTTTTGAAAGATATGATGCAATGGTTCTGCGATAACATTTGCCTGCTCCTTCAGAACTCTGGAATGTAATCTGTCGGGTTCTGGTGATTTATATTCGTGGAGGTCAGAAAGGTGCTCTCTTACCATTTTCTTGGTTATTTTAATTTTTGTTTCTAGTTTGTCTTTTTCAATGGTTTTTTTTTTCTGGTATATTGGTCTATGTTTTCTTTTTTGTGTGGAGACGGATGCAAAGTATGAGTTAAGTAGTTCTGCTTTCTCCCTGTTGCCTGTTATTTCCTTGCCATCTTTTCTCTTTAGTGGGCCTACAGTTTCCTTGACTTTTTTCTTGTTGTTAGTATATTGAAAGAAACTTTTCTTTTATTATCCTTGGTTTCTGTTGCAAGTTTTTGTTCGTTTGAGCCTTTGCTTTCCTGACTTCATCTTTGCATGTTCTGGCTGTCTGCTGATAATCAGCCTTAGTTATGTGTCCCTCTTTCCATTTTTTGTACTTGTCCCTTTTGTCTTTCAGTTTGTCAGAGAGATCTTTGTGCAGCCATGCTGGTTTCTTCTTGAATTTGTTGTTTTTCTTTTTCTGTGGTATTATGGTGGACTGGGCTTTTATGATCACATTTTTCAGGATTTCCCATGCTTCCTGGGTTGTTTTCCCCTTTATGATTTTCATCCATAGGATCTTTCCTAGGTTCTGTCTGAGTTTGTTAAAGTCAGCTCTTTTGAAGTTTAAGACCCTGGTTGGATTGTTTTCTGTTACTAGTGTTTGCATTATATTAAATTCCAGTATGACGTGGTCCCTTTTGCCCAAGATTCTAGTAACTTCAACTCACTCTATCACTTCTCCTCTATTAGTAAGAATTAAGTCCAGTATGGCTTTACATCTAATCCCCTTCTCCACCTTTTGGATGACAAAGTTGTCAGCTAGGTTTCTTAGGAATTTATTTGATCTCCCAGTCACTGCAGAGTTTGCCTCTGAGTTGATATCTGGATAGTTGAAGTCACCCATTGCCATTGTGGTATGCTTCCTATATACATTTGTTAACTGGTTGGCAAAGAGTTCATCTATTTCTTCTGATTGGTTGGATGATCTGTAATGTACACTTATGGTAATGTCAGTTTTTTTTTCTTTTGTGTTGACCTATATGCATTCTGGAGAGATTTTATCTTTGATCATGTGCATTTCTGTAGATTCTTAGTGCTGTCTTACATATAGTGCAACTCCCTCTCCTCTTTTTGTACTTCTGTTTCTTTTGAACAATTTGTATCCGTCCATCAGTCCATTCCATTCATTGGTTTCACCCCACCATGTTTCTGTAATGCCAACTATGTCATACTCTCCCTTGTGTACTATTGCTTCTAGTTCTCCCTGTATGGGTTGGAAATACATGGAAGAGGCCTTCATCCTACAGTGGTTAGAGAATGGCTAAAATTATAATTAAATTACCAATACATTTAATATCTAAATTTAAAATGAAAGTCTAAACCTTTCATCCTGTATATTAAACATAAGCCAAAACAGAAAGAGAGAAGTGATAAGCAGTTCAATCTGCTTGATGAACCTCAATTTTTTTATTGGTTTCTTATCACTCAAAGCTAAATCCTGAAATGGAATTCACAAAATCCTTCTTCTTTTGCCATTTTTCTAAAAACAAGTTCATTTTCTAGACATTTGTCCTCCCTCTCTTCAGCCCCTGCCTCCTTCCAGGTGTGTGGAAAGCTGCCATCCTGGATTCATGAAGGTGGTTCAGAAAGAGCAGCTCATCTGTTGCTATGACTGTCTTCCTTGTGCAGAAGGAACCATCTCCACCATGGAAGGTGGGTGACACCAGAGAAAAGGGATAGTGCAGACCCTGACATTTTTAATAAAACTGTGTTTTGATAGAAATTTCTAAGCTTTGCTTAAAAAAAATAATATCTGTTAATATGTTTAATTTATTTCAAAAGAGTGATAATAATTTTGGAGTTTAAATGGGAAACAGGATATCAAACACAGAATCAATGGCATTAGAAAACAGATGGAATATTTTGCTCTTCTTCTTATCTGATGAATACTCTCTCTTGTTTCCTTGATTTCTTCCCTTTACTTCCTTTTCCTTCCTTTGATATAATTACAGTATGAGTAAATGTCTGGAGTTATTTGTTTAACAGGTAATGCAGCAGCACTGTAGTATTCCTTCCTTCCTTTCTTCTTTCTTAACATGTTCCCTGATGAAAAATGAGGGATTTTCTTTCTTTTTTAATTAAGAGGGTGAAACTGAGAGGAGTTTCTCCTTCTAGTTGGAATCACAAAAAGAACTGCAAAACTGAGGCTGGCTTATTTCATACATCCTCAAAAGAGATGCCCAAATTCATTTGGAGTGAGACAGTCTGAGTGTCAAGGTTCTGATAAGCAAGAGCAAAGAAATCAGAACTCTGAGGCTTGAAACTTCTTCAAAGAACATGTTTATTGCTTACATAGTATCAGCACAGTCAAAAGTGAAACCAAGTCTGAAGTTCCCTTCAGAAAGCAACAATATTACAAAGTTAAACTTCCCATCCCAAAGCTATGCAATTAGCTACGTTCCCCAATAGAAGAGTTTGGCGGGTTTTCTAACTAAATGATCCAGCTTCTATCTAACTGACAGAAATGACCTTGGTTCCCATGGGACAATAAAATGTTTAGACTAGTAGAAATCCTCTATCCACCTCCCAATTCTGTGGCAACTTTGAATGAAGGAAATGGCTGCAGCCAGTTTCATTGTAAAATTGACAGTGAGATCTAGGCATCCAGACATATAAACTGCTAAAGCAATTGTTAAAGATTATTTAGACATTCACAACATGTGGAAACAACTCTGGACAGAAAATTGTCCTCCACATGTTGAAGCTATCCCTGCATTTTGGAAAAAATATCTCTATTTGACCAGCACTATGAGATATGGACAACATTGAACTGAATTTGCTCTGGTCATGGTAGATGTGCAGATGCCCTCTGTACGTGGGGCAAAATATCACCGAATTGTGATTGTGAGGCCAAAAAAACCTATCTAGCACACAATGACAGGGTGCAAAACAATCTATAATGCTGATCTGTGAGAAATGAAGTAAAAAAAAATTAGATTTGCCACTTTGATATACATTTGTTATTTTCCTGCTAAGTTTACAGATTTTATAATGCTGATGTCAAGGTTCCGACTAATGAAATACTTCAAAAAACTTCCAGGCATTGTTTATCTTAAACTGACTTTTTATTCATGTGACAAAATGTCGGCATGGCATGAAGAAGGGATGCTAAGATCTGAAATCTCCACCCCTCCAAGCAGTTTTTTTTTGCTAGCATTTTCCCTCCTTATTTGGCTGTTATGATTTACGTTCTCCAATTAGTTTGAAGGGCAAAGGTTCTCTTCTGTTTGCAACTCATACTTTTTTCCTTCTCCCCTCCCAGCATCTTCTGAGTTAACTCTAAAAATACCACATAGCTCTGCATATTTTGTCAGAGCAAGAACATCCAATGTTAGCATCTTTGACAGCTGATCTGTGAGAAATGAAGTTAAAAAAAAATAGATTTGCCACTTTGATATACATTTGTTATCTTCCTGCTAAGATTACAGATTTTATATCCTATGTTTTGCTTTTTACTCCTATGATACTTTTTACTGAAATATGGTGTGAATGTACCATACAATAAATAAAATAGAGATACCCAAGGAAATGAAAACGCTTGGTGCTTGTTTTCATGGCATGGATGGGAAGATTAAAAACAGGGAGATCCTGTTTGGAAATGTCTGTCCAGAAAGAGACTTCATCATTTTCTTGGTCCAGATTGAGAGGAGGCATAGATATTGCAAATGACTTTCCCTAAAAGCCACTTTACATATGAAGAGCAGCAGCTAGTGTACATCTTTCTTCTGTCAAGACTCAGAACTATGTAGAGGGAGCCACTGAATCCTTCAATCCAACCTTCTACTCCTTCCTCTGTTTGAATTAATCCAGAACAGGGAGTTACAAAGACCATCTCTCCATTGGTCATTAATGGGGGAGCTGAAGAGTCATTTGGATTTCATCCCTAAAACATGGTTTCTGGATTCAGGGATGCATATAATGCAACCTATAAAACTGTCCAATGAATTTGTTGCAGAAATTCACATTTTCCTTTAGAACTCGCCCTTTGATTAAAATTCCTAGTCATTGCTTCATGGTACCTTTCTCCAGAAAAGTTCCAGACCATCACTAGTTTGACTATAATCAGACATCTTATAGACCAACAAGGATTATGCTTATGTTAATCTTGCTCTTTTTAGATGCTGAAAAATGCGTCAAATGTTCAGCAGACCAGCATCCTAACATCAACCGTGATGACTGTATACCGAAGGCTGAAACTTTCTTATCCTATCAAGAAAATTTGGGGATCATCCTAGCTTCCCTTGCCTTATTCCTGTCTTTAGTAACAGGCTTTGTCTCAGGAATCTTCATTAAATTCCAAGAAACTCCCATAGTCAAAGCCAACAATCGGGATCTCTCCTACATCCTCCTCATCTCCCTCCTGCTCTCCTTCTTGACTTCCTTCTTATTCATTGGCCAGCCACTAAGAATCACTTGCCTTCTCCGACAAACAGCCTTCAGCATCATTTTCTCAGTTGCCATTTCTACTGTCCTGGCCAAAACTTTCATGGTGGTGTTAGCCTTCTTGGCCACAAAACCAGGGAATAAAGTACAGAGATGGCTAGGGAAAAGCCTGGCCAATTCTATCATCCTTTCTTGCTCTGGTGTTCAAATTATCCTCTGTAGCATCTGGTTGGGGACTTTTCCCCCATTCCCTGACTCCGATATGCACACACAGTCTGGAGAGATTATTCTTCAATGCAATGAAGGTAGTGTCATCATGTTTTACATTGCCTTGGGCTACATGGGCTTCCTGGCTGCCATTTGCTTCACAGTGGCTTTCCTGGCCAGGAATCTGCCTGCAGCCTTCAATGAAGCCAAACTGATCACTTTCAGCATGCTGGTTTTCTGCAGCGTTTGGGTGTCTTTCCTGCCCACCTACCTGAGCACGAAGGGGAAGTACATGGTGGCAGTGCAGGTCTTCTCCATTTTGGCTTCCAGTGCTAGCCTCTTGGGATTCCTTTTCATTCCCAAATGCTACATTATTTTCCTAAGATCAGACCTGAATACAAAACAATATTTACTGCCAAAATAGAATATAAAGTGACTTTGGTAGGTTTTTCTCTCAAATTAGTTATTTGAAAAATATACATTCTGTTTTTTGTTTTCCTTTTTTTGTTTGCTATTTGAGAATAGAGAAAATTGTGCAACATCGGTGATTTCTTTAGGTGAGCGTAGGAGAATTTTGCCCTAGGTACACTTGAATCAGAGATCAAATTACCTTGAAGAGCAAATTGGTTTACAGACCGTGTTGAGACAAAGTCAGACCTATATGTTTGAGAGGGTTGGGAGATATTGGCAATTAATAGTCTCTCTTTACAGAGTCATGCAAAGTATGCTGCATATTCCTCTATGGTACTATACTATGTATTTATAATATTTGATTTTCTATTTGTTTCCCTTGTTTATTTATTTGTATTATTAATTTAAAAAAACTCAGAAATGTTACATGTATGGGGAAATGTAAAAATTTACTGAGCGTGTCAATCAAACTAGAAGAATATTTTTAACTCAGGGTTAAAATAAGGGGTTCTTGCTGTTCCTTGAACTTGGTTGTTTTCTTGCAGACATTTCATTACTCAAACTACTGTAGGTAATATCAGTGCTCATGTTCGGTGCTCAGCACTGATGACATTACCTAGTTTGGGTAATGAAATATCTGCAAGAGGGATAGAATCAAGAGGGACCTCGGAGTCCTAGTAGACAATCACTTAAATATGAGCCAGCAGTGTGCTGCAGCTGCCAAAAAGGCCAACACAGTGCTAGGCTGCATTAACAGAGGGATAGAATCAAGATCACGTGAAGTATTAATACCACTCTTTAATGCCTTGGTAAGGCCCACACTTGGAATACTGCATCCAGTTTTGGTCACCACGATGTAAAAAAGATGTTGAGACTCTAGAAAGAGTACAGAGAAGAGCAACAAAGATGATTAGGGGACTGGAGGCTAAAACATATAAGGAACGGTTGCTAGAATTGGGTATGTCTAGTTTAACGAAGAGAAGGACAAGGGGGGACATGATAGCAGTATTCCAATATCTCAGGGGCTGCCATAAAGAAGAGGGAATAAGCTATTTTCCAAAGCACCTGAAGGCAGGACAAGAAGCAACGGGTGGAAACTAATCAAGGAGAGAAGCAACCTAGAACTAAGGAGAAACTTCCTGACAGTTAGAACAATTAATCAGTGGAACAGCTTGCCTCCAGAAGCAGTAAATGCTCCAACACTGGAAGTTTTTAAGAAGAGACTGGACAGCCATTTGTCCGAAATGGTGTAGGGTTTCCTGCCCGAGCAGGGGGTTGGACTAGATGACCTCCAAGGTCCCTTCCAACTTTACTACTATTATTATTATTATTAAGATCATGTGAAGTATTAATACCACTCTACAATGCCTTGGTAAGGCCACACTTGGAATACTGCATCCAGTTTTTGTCACCACGATGTAAAAAAGATGCTGAGACTCTAGAAAGAGTACAGAGAAGAGCAACAAAGAATATATTTCTCCAATAAGCTCAATTAATGGTGTTCATTTGAAAACTGGCTTTTAAGGAAACTTTTATTAAATTCTCCTTTGCAAATTTCAATGCTTCCTTCCATTTTCACCAAGGAAATGGCCAGGTCTTCTATCTTGGCAGGAATTCCCCTGGCTGCTGGGTACCTCTGTTTCTTCTTCCTTCTGTCCATGCCAGAAAAACAAGTACCAATGCTCTGTATGTTTGGGCATCTCTCTTGAGGGCTACAGAAAAAAATATGCCAAGGTTTTAGTCTTTTTCCTGTCAGTTTTACCTACCTAAAAACAAAAAAAAAGTCATTTCTCCTCAAATTTCCTTTTCAAAGAAAAATGGAGGGAGGGAAGGTCGAGGGAAGGAAGGGAGGGAGGGAGGGAAGGTCAAGGGAAGGGAGGGAGGGAGGGAGGTCAAGTGTTGGATCTCTATATGGATCTGTTAAACAAACAACATCAGCCTTTTACTCATGCCTTAGTGCAGGGGTGGGCAATTAATTTTCCCAAGGGGCCATATGAGAAACTGAGACTGTTATTGAGGACTGATGTTGCTATGCTACTCCTCCCCCGCCATGGTCCTCTGCTCCTACCACCATAAACATCCCTGCTGTCCTCACCACTGTGGGCTGGAATAGGATAGCCACAAAAGCAGCACAAATAGAAGCCTCAGCAACATGACTTGGGCTCCTGATTGAACTTCCTCTATGGCATCTGCTTTTGAACAAAGAATTAGATTAAGAGGTATAAGAAACCAAAACCTCTTCCAAGATAATAGTTTCAGGTGCAGACATGTCCACCTGTGGGACAGAAACAGGACTTCTGTTTGTCTTAAAACAACCCACAAATTCACATTCTGTCTCTAGAGCCATTTATGAATCCAGAATTTCTGAATCAGACTCCGCCCAACATTGACTTTTAGTCTGATATTGACATCAAAACATTTTCTGACATGTTTTCTGAAAGTTTTCAGAAATCTTTAGGAAGTTAATATAAAATAAGTAAATAAATGACTATGATTTGGATAATGGCAAGGAAGAAAGCCTTCATCTCACTGAACACTGAATGAGGCCGGTGCCCAAAGGAGGAACTTACAGATGCCACTCCAAACTCTGAAGTGAGAGAGACTGGATAATTTTTTTAGAAAATCCAGAATCAAGGAAAACTTTTAGCAAGGCCATGATAGTGGGATAATAATAATAATAATAATAATAATAATAATAATAATAATAATAATAATAATAATAATAATAATAATAATAATAATAATAATAGTAATGATCTGAAGCTGTATGGAAAAACATCATCTGAAATAGAATCGCTGCTCAACACTGTCCGTATATATAGCCAAGATATTGTAATGGAGTTTGGCTTGGACAAATGTGCCACACTTAACTATCAAACAAGGAAAAGTAGTGAAAACTGAAGGAATCAAGATGCCCCACGAAAATAACATTAAGAGTCTGGATGAGGAAGAATACTACAAATACTTGGGTATCCTTCAAGCTGACAACATCAAGCACACTGAAGTCAAGAAAAAGATTAGAAGTGAATACATCAAGAGAGTGAAGAAAATCTTAAAATCCAAACTCAATGGAGGAAATACCATAAAGGCAATCAACACTTGGGCAATCCCAGTCATTAGGTACACAGCTGGAATAGTGGACTGGACTCAAGCAGAACTAAAAGCAATGGATAGGCAGACCAGAAAAATAATGACAATGAATCACGCCCTTCATCCACGCAGTGACATTGATAGACTTTATCTACCAAGGCAAATAGGTGGGCGTGGAATGCTACAAGTACATCAGATGGTTGAAGAAGAAAAAATGGCTTTGGAAGAATATCTGAAGAACAATGATGAAGATGCACTGAAATTAGTATATCAGGAAGGCTTACTAACTACTGGAGAGACCAAACTGGCCTACAAGAAAGACCAAATGAAGAACAGAATAGAGGCATGGGAAGACAAAGCACTACATGGCCAATACATGAAAAAAATAGCTGGGAAAGCAGATATTAACAAGACCTGGCAATGGCTAAGAGCAGGAAAATTGAAGAAAGAGACCGAGGGACTAATTCTGGCTGCACAGACCAAGCCTTAAGGACAAATGCATATAAAGTCAAAATTGAGAAGACAGCAACAGACAGTAAGTGCCGCCTATGCAAAGAAGCTGAAGAAACAGTGGACCACTTGGTAAGCTGCTGCAAGAAGATTGCACAGACTGACTACATGCATCGGCATGACAAAGTAGCAACCATGGTGCATTGGAAGATCTGCAAAAAATATCATTTGCCTGTAAGCAAAAACTGGTGGGATCATAAAATAGAGAAAGTCATAGAAAATGATAAAATTAAACTGCTCTGGGACTTCAGAATTCAAACAGACAAGCACCTGCAACATAACACCCCAGACTTAACAATTGTCGAAAAGAAAGACAAAAAAGTCTGGATAGTGGACGTGGCAGTGCCTGGAGATAGCAGAATAGAAGAGAAAGAACTGGAGAAAATAACAAAATACAAAGACCTACAAATAGAAATAGAAAGACTGTGGCAAAAGCAAGCAAGGGTAGTACCAATAGTCATAGGCTCCTTGGTGCAATCCCAAAACAACTGGAGCACCACTTGAACACCATTGGCATTGACAAATTCGCTATGAGTCAATTGCAAAAGGCGGCCTTACTAAGAACTGCTTCCATCCTGCGACGATACCTGTAGTACCATCAAACATCCACATCTGCCTATCCCAGGTCCTGGGTAAGGACTCGATAGGTAGACAAAATGCCAAATCCAGTCTGAACATCTGGCTGACTGTGCGATGATCAATAATAATAAAGTTGGAAGGGACCTTGGAGGTCATCGAGTCCAACCCCCTGCTCAGGCAGGAAACCCTATACCATTTCAGACAGATGGCTGTTCAGTTTCTTCTTAAAAACTTCCAGTGTTGGAGCATTTACTGCTTCTGGAGGCAAGTTGTTCCACTGATTAATTGTTCTCACTATCAGGAAGTTTCTCCTTAGTTCTAGGTTGCTTCTCTCCTTGATTAGCTTCCATCCTTTCCTTCTTGTCCTGCCTTCAGGTGCTTTGGAAAATAACTTGATTCCCTCTTCTTTATGGCAGCCCCTGAGATATTGGAATACTGCTATTATGTCCCCCCTTGTCCTTCTCTTCGTTAAACTAGACATACCCAATTCCAGCAACCGTTCCTTATATGTTTTAGCCTCCAGTCCCTTAATCATCTTTGTTGCTCTTCTCTGTACTCTTTCTAGAGTCTCAACATCTTTTTTACATCATGGTGACCAAAACTGGATGCAGTATTCCAGGTTTGTCCTTACCAAGGCATTGTAGAGTGGTATTAATACTTCATGTGATCTTGATTCTATCCCTCTGTTAATGCAGCCTAGCACTGTGTTGGCCTGCAGCACACTGCTGGCTCATATTTAGGTGATTGTCCACTAGGACTCCGAGGTCCCTCTCACAGTTACTACTATTG